TTTTTTTCTCTTTTTCTTTTTCTTGTTCTTTTTCTTGTTTTCTTTCCTTCTTTCTTTCTTTTTCGTTTTCTTGATTTCGGTTTTTGTCTCCCCTTTCGTTTTTCATTTTTTGTCCAGTCTTCCCCACCCTCGTTTTCGAAATCTGGCGGCAGGTCGACAATCGAAGAACCATATCAAGAAGGAAACGATACATGCACTGCCTGCCAAGCAATTGGTACAGGGTAGTGACGAGCGCGCGGTGACGCAGGGCATACCACATAAGGAAGAACGCATCGCCACTCGAAAAGTAAGATTCGAACTCATGGGCGGGAAATTAGAGCAGGATCTTGACGAGCGTACGGTAGGGTTTTCTGTTTTTTGTTTTTCTTTTTTCGTTTTCCTTTTTTGCGGGAGGCAGTCAGTCTCAAGCTATTGCACTACAGGACACGCGATGGGTAGTAGTTGGGCGGTGTTTTTTTTTGAAGGCATGAACAGAACCCGGGGTGATAACTAGATGCAGAGCCCGCTGGTATGAAACGGAGAGCGACTACGATGACCTTTTTGGACGACAACGACAACCAGGTGCCACCGTGCCAGCGGTCTACAGGGTATAAAACTGGGGATGAACACTGTAGCAAAACATCATTGCGTGTTTCGAGCCTGCAATTTGAAGTGACCTTCTCGATCAAGCAAGCGGGAATTCAAGCAACGGAGGCGGTCTGTCAGCATGGATTTCTTCACGGACCTGGACCTCGTCGATGACTTGGTGGAGCCCGAGGAATCGGTATAATCCATACACCCCTCGACGGTTTTTACGTCAGGTGCATGGGTCTGATATCAGCACGCAGCAGCTGATGGTACACAGCGATAGCGGAGCCGTTAGCAACCACCGCGCAGCGCGTCGCATAGCTCGCTAGCATGGCAGACAACGCCGAGGCGGAGGTAGCAAGGCGGAGGAGAGTGTAGCCATCTATGCCTTCGTCACGTACGTTTCGCTTCTCGCCGGCATAGCGTTTCTGAGTTTCGTTGCAGCCCTACCACCTCAGCCATCCTCGCTTCCTCCGTGGTCTGAGCCCTCCTCTTCTCCTGCCCCCCATTCCACCAAGCCCTCTCCCCCGCAATCCACTTCGCCTAACAAACGGTGGACAAAAATAACCCCTTTATAGATCTAAAGACTAAAATTCTAAATGCATCTTTGATGTGTGTCTCTCCCCCTTTGCCTCTATTCTCTTTTCCGAAATGATAAACAAAACCATGGTAACTCTGTGTTTTTCGTTTTTCATGTTACAGGTATTATGTCCACTGGAATGCACCTGTGAATAATACTGTTAACATGGCTGTGCGAGCAAATGCCAACAGTTGGATTGGGATTGGGTGGAACAGCCAAAACGAGATGAAAGGGGCCGTTGCTGCTGTTGGAATTAACTTTCAAGTCCTGCAGCGGTACCTTTATGACTATAAAGCGGAGCTCATTAGGCCGTATTCCGGCCTGTTTGCTCCTGAGTCCCCAACATCGATCGAGAGACAGGGTGCTAATCTCACAATGAGGTGGGTGCGTTGGTGGGTGTGCATGTGTGTGTGTGTGCGGTTTGGAAGGTTGGTGGGCGGTTGTGGGTGGGTGTGGCGTCTGGTGGGCACATCTCTCTTTTTCTTTTTTTCTTTTTGTCGGGGTATATCACTCTTGAGTAAGGGGTCACGGAAATTATACTTCACCCACGGGTCCCACCCGTCATAATGACATCTTGACACGTGGTTAACCAGGGGTAATATTTTCGGCGAATTTGCACTGAAACTGTCACATTGTGCTGATTTTTCGTGTTTTTTCTTGTTTTTCTTTGTGTGTGATATATATGTGCTTTAGGGTACGTCATGTGCCCGATTTTGACATATTTGGATCGATAATGAAAAAGTTGGCATTTCATTGAATTCGTTGGACGATTCGTTTTAACTCCGACAGTGTTTTTGTGTTAGGGTTTTATAGTGTTTTTTGGTTATTTTTTTCGTTCTCTTTGGCCTGTTTCTTTTTTTGATGTTTGCACTATGGGCCCATTTCTTTTTTCGTTCTCTTTGGCCTGTTTTGGCCGATGTTTTCGACAAGGGCCAGGCCCCAAGGGTGGTATGTTCATGCGAAGAAAACCGGAATTTGGTTGGCATTATGACCAGTTTCATGTTTTAAAACCACATTTGGTTGGCTTCTCAATTTCCCCCCCAGGAGAAATGGAGCTTCAGATCCTTTTTGAACATAGGGTCCCTTCCACTACCCTTTTTGAGGTGGAGATCAGGGGAATCAAGAATGGCTTGCCAACACTTTTCCCAATTCTATGACAATTTGAGGTGGAGATCAGGGGAATAAAGAATGGTGAGAATGGTGAGATTACTGAGGGAGGAAGGAAAGACGATGGATGACGAGATCAGGGCAGAGCACAGCCAGTGATACATGCCCAATTGGGCAATGTATGTACAGCCAAGGATCCGCGATGTGATGAAAAGGACTGAATGCACAATGCAATGTTAGTGAAACATCACCCAGGCAATGTACACCCCGATACACACAAAATGGCAAACAATAGCGCAGCGGAAGACTTCAAGATAAGTCCTGACCTGACCGGGACTGACACGACATCCCATCATACATCACACATGTGAGAGGAGGAGGAGGGACCGCACACAGAGAAGAAAGGTGGGAACATACCACAGATGAGAGATGGGGGGAGAGGAGAGACTTAGATGGAGGTGAGGGAGAAGACCAAGATCGCAATAGCGAAGTCCAAAATTAGTCCCTTGCCGATGTCCAATTAATGTCTGCCTCAGAAATGTCGAATCAGATCCTTGGAGGCTGCGCTATTATGGCGTGCTGCGAAGCTCGGGAGTAGAGGTGCAGGAGGTAGGGAGAGAGGCGGAGGCCTACCTGTAGCGGCGAACTTACCTGGCGCCATAGCTGGAGCTCCACGCGGTACCTGCACAGGACGACCACAACAGTCAGTTCGGTGGCAGCTACCTACAGGTGAGACAGCAAGGGAGGACGGCATCTTCTTCTTCCTCTTCGTCCTCCACCTTGTCTCACTCTCTCTCTCTCTTCCTCTTTCCTCCTTCCTCCTCCTCCTTCATCTTCTTCTTCAGATACGAGAATGAGAGAGAGGTTACAGGCCGAGGATACAGGCAGAGGCTACAGTGGGCATTGTGCCCACCAGCAGCGTGGCGCTCAAGAAGTGAGCTATCCAGACTGTCCGGTACCCAGAGTGAGGCCCAGCTATATACTGCGCTGGGCCCTACTAGGTAGGTCGCTGTGTGGCCTAGAACGGCCCGTACGGTCGAGGCTCCTACCGGGGCCCAGGCCGTGCTGCTGATGCAGCAAGGCGCCAAAACACGCCTGGCCTCAGAAAGGCCTCGTCCCTGTGTACCTGTCCCAATGCGTCACCTTGAGGCCTGTAAGTCCGAAACGACATCTGCACAGACCAAGATGAGACAGCACGTAAGTAAATAAATAAATAAACAAATAAATAAATAAATAAATAACTGAGTGCTGCCTCAGGCTGTGCCTGCGGCCCAGAAGGCCCCCATGGGCCTCCAGGGTGCGTGCTGGATGGCATGCGGCCTGGGGCCTCTCAGCAACCGTCGGGCCCCGCAAATGGGGCCCGTGTGCAGGTGCAGCATGTAACACCCCCCCCTCCTTATGAAGTCAAGCCGGGTCGAGGGCAAAGCTGACTATCTGAAGGTGGGACCTGGACGCGGGTGCGACGTGGAGCCGAAGATACCGGCTTGCCTTGCAACTTGCGTTCGTAGCGTGCGAGAACATCCGGAGCTGTTGCTTGCAGTTCCGCACGGGTCAACCAACGGTCAGCTTTATGGGTGCAGTACGCAAAATGTACGAAGTATTCGGTCAGCCTGTTGCCGTAAAGTCGCCGGGAGATGATGTTGCCGACCTCTTGAAACCGTCCATGGAGGGTGGGTCTTGCGATCGTCGCCCCGGAAAGTCGTCATGTTCCGCTGGCGTGTAAAGAGCCAACTTGGAGCAGTGAAAGACCAGGTAGATGGGCACGTGGGCGGGCACCTGGATGACAAATGAAGGTCCCTCGGGTGCATCCCCAGCGGGTGCCATGATCGGCCAGGGCCCCATCAATTTCGAGAGGAGCTTGCGAGAGATATCTTGTTCCAGGCTGAATTCCGCAGCAGAAACCCGTACAAGGTCGCCAGCGCGGAATGGACAAGGAAGACGCTGGCGATTGGTCTGTTGGCTCATGCGTTGCTGCGTCTTTGCCATTTGGTTGTGTGCCTTGACAAGTAGCTCTTGCATCTGATGCAAGAAAAGGAGATGGCCGTCGCCCTCAGCTGCCCGTGGGATGATTGTGTCCAACAGAGAGGTGACCGGTGAGCCGTGCTCGAACTCAAAGGGCGACATCCCGATAGGCGGATGAATGGACGAGTTGTATGCCAACTCGACATTTGGCAGCCGCTCAACCCAATCCTTTTGGTCGGGACGGATGAGAGTGCGAAGGAGAACTTGTGTGGTCTGATGCGCCCTCTCCGTTTGGCCATCAGTTTGGGGGTGGCGAGCCGAACTCGGCTTAAGAGATGAGCTCCATCGTTTGATGAGCGCCAACCAAAAATCGGATATGAACCGAGTGTCGCGGTCGCAGACAATTTCCTTGGGGTAACCCTTGGTTCTAATTCAGCCGGCGTAAAGAACCTCCGCCAATTCCGGTGCCTTGGCATGATAGCGGCAAGGCCAAAACATGGAGAACTTGGTGAGTCGGTCGACCATAGTGAGAATCTCATCCACACCGGTCTTGTGCTTGTGGAACGGCCTGGTAATGTCCATGGCAATCGCTTCCCTTCGGCGCAACAGGATCGGTAATGGTCGCAACTCGCCATACAGACGATGATTGCGGGATTTGCAGCGTCGGCAAACCTCGCATGACTCGCAATAATGTGTGACGTCGCCGAGAAAGTCGGGCCACCAAAAGCGCTTGCGAAGTCGGCCAATCGGGCGATAGACTCCAAAGTGTCCGGTGGCGGGAGCGTCATGAAACTTGCCAAGAAGCCTTGTATGCAAATGAGAGTCACTTGGAACGCAAAAAAAATCCTTCCCCCGCATGTGGACAAGTAAGTATCCCTCTTGGATCCGGTAGTGTGATGGCGCCGAATTAGGAGAGGAGCAGTTCGCGTGCTTGTCGCGAAACTCGGGGTTGGCTTGGTAGCTGCGCATGAAGCTGTCCCGCAGGTCGTCATCGATCTCGAAGGTCGAATAGACTGTGGTACAATGATCCGGACGCCGTGATAGAAGTCGAACTGGTCGCTGAAAGTCATCCAACGAGCGATGGTGTTGTTGACCGTGTCTTGGGTCTTGTAAAAGACCAACAGATTGTTATCCGTTACCCATCGGAATTGACTTCGACCAAGGAGAAAGTCCCGCATCGCTTGAGCGTGTGGGCAAAGGCTAGGAGCTCCTTCTTTCGTGCATCGTCAATTGAGTGCACGACAGACGATTTCTTGCTGAAATACTCAACCGGGTGCCGGTCCACGCCATCGTGTTGTTCAAGGACAATACCAATGCCATAGCCGAACGGATCCGTAGTGACGCGCGTTGGCAATAGCGGGTCGTAGATACGCAAGACCTCCGCAGATAATAATGCGGCTTTGAGGGCCAAAAATGATTCTCGCGCATCCTCACTAAAGTCGAACAGCTGATCCTCGCATTGAAGCTTGGTCAAGTGGGCCTCGATCTTCGAGTATCCCTTGATCAAACGTTGGTAGTAGCCGACAAGGCCAAGGAACGAACGAACATCCGTGACGTTCCGCAGCTCCGTCCACTCTTGGATGGGCTTCAATCTTGTCCGACAACGGAGTGATGCCCTCCGGTGTGACAAAATGGCCCAAGTATTCCAACTCTTGCCAGACAAATTCGCACTTGTCGCGGTTGGCTTTGTACTTGGCGCGGCGGAGCGTCTCCAACACTCGGTGAAGGTGCTCAAGATGATCCTCCAAGGTCCGGTTATAGACGAGGATGTCGTCTAAGTAGACCAGCACGAAGCGGTCCAACATCGCTCGGAACTCGTTGGTTATTGCCACTTGAAAAGTCGTCGGGGCATTGGTGAGGCCAAAAGGCATGACCACCCACTCAAAATGTTCGTACCGCGTTTTGAATGCGGATTTATAGCGATCGTTCGGGCGTATCGGAATTTAATGATAGCCCGACTTCAAGTCCAACTTGGAAAAGTACTTTGCGTCGCCCAATCGCTCAAGAAGATCGTCAATACGAGGAAGAGGCCCTGCATTCTTGACAGTTTGCACGTTGAGCTTGTGGTAATCGATGCACAATCGTAGATCCTTGTTCTTCTTCAGTACGAAGAGAACTGGCGCTCCATATGGGGAGCTACTAGGGCGGATCCAACCCTTGTCCAACAAGTCGTCGAGTTGTGCGCGGAGGACCGTAAGCTCCTCCTCGCTCATGTGATAAATGCAACCTTTCGACGGCATGACACCGGGCTCAAGAATGATCTCGTGAGAGATCGGCCAATCCGGCACCACACCGGTAGGTGACTCGAAGATGTTGGCGAACTCGTCAAGCAACCGCACCACACGGGGGTCCGAAGACAAGTCCGTGGATGAAGAGTCGGCTACCGCGGCGGTTCGTAGGAAACATAGGCCTATCTCGTCGGCTGCTCGTAAGCACAAGTAGCCCGGAATGACTTGGCCACTTGGCACCGGATCGAAGGGTGCGGAAGAGGAATAGTACGCGACACTTCGGCGTCGAAGGCGTCTCGGACGGTAAGAGTCCGCCGGTGGAAGATGACCGTGTGATCTGCACCTGCAAGCCAAGGCATTCCCAAAATAATATCGAAGTCCGTGTCCAAAATGTCGGACTTCAGCGGTTCGCATGCATGAGGTGCGAAATATACCGGTACGGCCTCAATGTAGCGGTCGATAAGTTGTTGCGTCTTTCCATCCGCCAACTTGATCGCCGTCGGGTTTGCCTTCCTTCGAACTTGTGCACCAAGGCCAGCCCTTTGCAATGTTGCATAAAGGCTTGGGTCATGAAATTGCGAGTCGCGCTTCTAGCCAGCAAAGCGCTGCAGGACGCTTGCCCAACTTGGATGTGGACATAGAGGAGCAGTGCGTTGTTGTTATCGTACCGCTGCATGCGAAACTCGCGGGCCACCTTGGTAACATATGCAAGGATGTCCCACCGCAGCTTCGTCATCCGTCGACAAAGTTGGTGGTGCGTAGAAGGATAGGTACGTGTGAAGATGAGCGCATAATGCTGCGCATTGCGGCCCCAGTAAGCGGCCAGTGGTAGGGAGAGGAAGCCATGCGAAATCCTCGTATGTGACCGGGTCCAATACCTCTATGTTGAACTCGCACGCCGAATCCCGTGAGGAACCACTTGAAGACGATAAGTCGCCACTGTCGGACGGAGAAGATGCCGCACACGTCTTGTCCTTGAGCATGAGTACCCAGCGTAGGAACGAGCCGGGCAGCATAGTCCTCACAAGAATATAAAAGAGGAGGACTATCGACTTCCGCATGTGCCTCGGAACGAAGGGCGGTCGCCTGCGTAGCAACCGGTTCCGAAGGCGTCGAGAGTGTCGTCGACTCACTCCCGGCGGTGCTCAGTTTCCCCATTTGCCCTTGGCTTTCGACGGAAAACCCACTGGGTCGTGGAGATCACCGTTGCACCACAGACAACAGCGGAATCTCTTGCGTAGCTTGTATGCATGTTCCGAGAGACCATAGTGGGTCCATGGGGCTTGAGCCGCTGCGTCGGGCCCGGGGTTTGTCGCGTCCTCGGCCTTTGTTGGGGCAACCACCATCACGGGCGGCTGCAATTCTGTCCCCTTCATTGGCAGACACGACCTTGCTTGAAGGGTCGGTCTACATTGTCGCCGCGACCACAACCACTTTAGGTCGATGTTGTTCTTTGCTCGGGCCTGCCGCAAATGAACGGTTGAGGTTTTTGGCCTCCATTTTCGTGACAATAATTTGCGCGACCTTGTTGAAGAGCTCCACTGTTGTAGTGAGAGTCTCCTCAACGTGAGTCAAGGCGTTGCCCAGCACCGGACACGACCTCGTAATGAAGTAGTGTTTGATGGCCGTAAAGCCCATCGGTACGTCCGACGTTGACGCCAAACGTTGGAACTCGGCAATCCAATCGCCGCTCGGCATCGTGCCTTGTTCGAAAGTCAGCAATTTGTCCATTGCTTTGATTTCCGACGGCTCTATTTGGAACCATTTATGCCACACCGCCTTCAGATCATCCCAACTGATCTTGGTATACAAGTCGGCAGCCACCACCCCGTACTTGGACAAGAGATTGTCCAACCACGCTTGGCACGCGCCCCTGATCGGGAGTACAAGTACGCGTGTTTCTTCTCTTCGCTGACGTGGTGGAGCTGTTACTTGAGCTCGAACTTGCGGAACCACGGAATCAGGTCTGTCTTCGTCGAGTCGCAGAAGATCTCCTGACCATCGAACTTCGGAGTCGTTTCGCGTGGTGACGTGCTCGAGTTAGTGGCGGCAGTGCAGATCCGCTGCTCAAGTTGTTGAGTTGTGGTTTGCTGTAACGGCGCGCCGTCTTTGAGTGCACCGACGTCGACTTCCAATGCGGCGAGGCGATCAGAAGTGTTGGAGGAGCTGGCGACGGGGGCAGCGACGGGTCGTTGCTCCAACTGCTGGAGGCAGCTGTTGACTTGATCCAACGACCGTTGGTGGTTCTTGACCACGTCGTCGAGGCTATGGATGTCCTCCTGTTGTGCAATGCATGTTGCCAGGAGGTCCGTGAGGTGGGAGAGCAACAGTGAGATTCATGGTTCGCTGTCGCTGAATTCGCCACGTTCGGCCTCGGTCTGCCATGCCGCTGCCATAGTAAACAAAGCTCTCTCCTCGCTGCATACCTTCTCACGTCGTTGACTGCGTTCTTCATCGGCAGCCTTTGCTGCTGCCTTGTCGTGTTGGCGCTGCTGTTCTATCGCCAGCAAACGTGCTTTCTCGGCATCCTCTGCCTTCTTCTTCTCTGCGGCTGCTACCGCATCCGACCGTTGCTTGGCTTCGGTAATCAAAACCAGCATCCGGGCCTGATAGGCCTCGGCCGTTTCCCCTGGCTTGTGGTCCATGGCAGCTGTTTGAGAGCGCGTGAGGAAAGACCAGGCCAGAGGACTGCTGACGTGGCACTGTTCCGCTGCTGACGTGGCACAGCTATCAGCTGACGTGTCACTGCTGACGTGGCCTGCTGACATGGTCTGCTGATGTGGCCTGCTGACGTGGCCTGCTGACGTGATCTGCTGATGTGGCCTGCTGACATGGCAACTCACCAATGCCGCAGTAGGGGGTAACCAGAGACAGATGAAGAAGAGAAGACCAGAGGGGGCAACAACATAGGTGGGGAGGGGTGGGTGGGACTGATTGCCCAGATAAGGAGCCACTAATAAAAAAAAGAAAAGTTTGAATTTTGCAAAAAAAATTGAGAAATTAATAATTAATAAAACGGTATTAAAACCTCGCTTTTGCAAATTCTGTAGGTCTCCCGATCCCGCCCAAATTCGAAATTATAACAAGGTTCGAATTTCGGACTGCAAACGAATAATAATACTGAATTATAAATAATGGAACTGCGACAAATTGTCCGCAAGTTCCGGGAATTCCGAAGAAATAAAAAAAATTCGGAATTAGGTCAGATCAGAGTATGCGCAGGAAATTTCAAATTGGAAACTTCACTGCGAAAGAGAGAGATGTCGAAAAAAAAAAAATTTCAGAATCTTGCAATAACGGAAAAATAACGACATAACGAATTCTGAATTTTCTGCTACTTCTGCAAGGAAGATGAGCGATAGCGAACTTCAGAAATCAAACAGCATCATACACAAGACCAGATAGTCCTGACCTCGAACCAACAGCAGAATTGCATCACGAGTTTCACCAAATAAGAATACACCAAGAGCTCATAATTGACAATGCTGGAATAGTCTCATCATCATCATCAATGAAGAACCAATGTCGATATCCTATTTGGCGCTCAGCGCCCAGACTACAGATGGCAGATCCTATCTAGCCTACTCTACAATGCCGCCGGATGACGTCAACAGCTTCACCGAAGTACGAGCAGATAGCGACCAATGCCGCACGCTTCCAGCACCAGGTATGTCTCTCGCTTCACTCACAACCTCGTTCCCCAACGCACAGATGCCACATGCACCCAAGGACCACCCTGCGCCACTCCCAGCTCACAGCAGCGCAGCTCGGCTATGGCTGCCTGCTCCTTCCAGCTCGCCCGTGAGCGCGTGAGCGCGTGAGCGCTAGCCAGCTTCAGCGCAGCAGCGCTTGCGCAGCATGCAGCCAGCACCCGAATGTCCAATGCGGAGGCAGGCCCTTTGCTATATGGAAGTGGCCTGCCTGCTGCTGCGCTGGGCCTGTCCCAAGAAGCTTCCGGTAGGCCCCGGTAGGCTGAGGCCCAATCCAAACGATTCAGGCCCAGGGCCTGTGGTGGTTACTTGTGCCCAACTGTCCTCGGCCTGTGTTTGGCCCATATCCCGTATCCAGCCGAGGGCCTGCCTTCCATACATGCAAACAAGCGGCCTTCGCCTGGGTGCTCTTCAACCAACTGGCGCTGTGCAACTGCCTGAATTTTCCACAGTTGTGTGTTGACCGAAATAGGGGCCCTCAGGCCCTCTTCGAGCCTGCCTTCACTTAGGGCGGCCGACGTGCTGCATAACAGGCCCAAAAAGGGGCTCATTGGGGCCTTGGCCTCACATTCCCTCCTCCATAACTTTGATAGTCCTCTGAGAAGTTCAGTCTTCGATAATCTGGCGCTTTCCCTTCTGCAGAGACTTTTCATATTGAGCAACAACCTGAGGAGCGGTCTGCATCAGTTCCTCCCTGATAAACCATCGATCCTCCTTTAGATCCGTGTGATGTCTGAACTGAACCCGGTATTGCAGCTTCGGTTTCGGAGGACGTCCCCTACCTGTCGGTCTTCGAACTGGCATTTCCTTATGGTCGACGATGTCATTGATGTCGACCTCTCCATCCATGGTTGGGGGCAGCATAGAGCGACGAGAGGGAAACTGATCAGTTTCCTTGGAAGGTGCAAGCTTAGAGCCATGAAAGACAGGATAAGTGCGGAGATGACCAGGGATCCGGATTACATAAGACGGTCCATCCGGATCAGTCCCGACAATGTCTAAGACCTCCCATGGTCCGAAGTACTGAGGCATGAGCTTGCGGGAAATCCCGTGCTCCTGTCCCAGTTCTGAGGACTTAACCCAGACTCTGTCTCCAACCTGAAATGCAGACGGGCGGCGATGTTTGTTCTCAGATTCTATCATTGTCGCCTGAGCCTTCTGCATTTGTTCTACTGCCTGCTGCATCTTTTGCTCATATCGGTATTTAAATTCTAAAGTACCGTGTGCAGCAGTTGACTGATTTTCAGGTAGTAAGAAATCTAGAGGCAGTCTGGTTTGAAGGTCAATAGGAGACTGTTAGGGCTCACTCCAATGGCGTTGTGCACAACATTGTAATAAAGACTGGCGATGAGAGCAAGTTTCTCGTCCCAGTCGACCTGATTGGGCTTGATGTAATGCCGCAGCAGGTGTTGGACAGCGCGATTCAATTGTTCGGCCTGGCCATTGACCTCGGGGTGATTACCCAAAGTCATTTGCAGTTGCGTTCCCTGTTCGGCAGCAGCAGCCTTCCACAATTCACTTGTAAATCTGACATCCCTGTCACTCACGATTGACTTGGGTAGACCAAAATCTCTTACCCAATTCTCTTTGAATAGTTTGATAACGTACTCGATTTTCGTTGTCTCCGGCATGACTATCAACCTACCATACATACTAAATATGTCCACAATGACAAAGATATGTCTCATCCCACTCGTGTTGGTGATCAGCGTATCCATGCAGTCCATGGACAAACTCTCACCAGGCCTTTCCGGAATCAGAAGGGGCTTCAGGAGCCCAAGAGGAGCTTGAGTACGTGGCTTCTCTCTCTGACAGACCTGACAGGTTTCCACGTACAACTGGGCATCTCGCATCATCGCGGGCCACCAGAACCGCTGCAGCAGATTGGCTGCTGTCTTTTTATAGCCAAAATGACCAGTGGCATCATGACACTCACCTAAAAATAAACTACCCAAAGACTCTCTATCTGGGACACACAACCGTTTATTCCCTGCCTTCTCAAGGAATAACAAGCCGTTGACCAACTCAAACTCGACAAAAGTCTTCCCATCCTTCGCCTCAAGTCTGTGTATGATCTCCGACATGAACTGGTCCTCGCGATAGGCTTCCACCAAGGAGCGAGTAACATCGTCCGTAAGATCGAACTCGGTAATCAGCGCACCTGAGAAATCAGGCCGCCAGCGCATCAGCAACCTTGTTGTACTCGCCCTTGATGTACTGGGGCTCGAAGTCATACTGCTCTATGACTTCAATCCACCGCTTCAGAGCGTCGGAGAGCGCAGGTTGGGTTCTCATCCACTTCAGGGTCTGATGATCAGTCCTGACGTAGAAGAACCCCCCAAGGAGATAGTGCCTCCAATGGGTGAGCGCCTTGTAAATCACATAGAGCTCCTTCTCATAGGTGGACTTAGCCAACTTCTGAGAGGGCATCTTTTTGGACATGTACTCTACCGGCCTCAACTTTTTCCCCTACTGCTGTGCAAGTACGGTGCCTATGCCATATTGGCTAGCATCCGTATTTACTATAAATGGCTTGTCAGGATCAGGAAGTTTCAAGACCTCATGATGCGGCAACGCATGCTTCAGATGTCTGAAAGCAGCCTCGCATCTGTCTGTCCACTTCCATGGGGTGTCAAGGCGAGTCAGGTCAGTCAAAGGGGCGACAATTATGCTATAGTTCTTCACGAAATTGCGATAGTAGCCGGTCATACCTAAGAAAGACCTCATCTCAGTCACAGACTGAGGACGCGGCCAGTCACGAATGTTGGCCACCTTCGCGTCATTGGGCTTCAGTCCCTCCGCGGAAATCTCATGACCCAAGTACAAGACACGGGTGCGGCCAAACTCGCACTTCTCACCGTTGATCTTGAACTTGTGCTGTCGCAGAAGACTAAGGACTTTGTCCAAGTGCACAACGTGCTCCTCGACAGTCTTACTAAAAATAAGTATGCCATCGAGGTACACGATGACAAACTTATCCAATAGCGTGCTGAAAGGTGCCAGGAGCATTGCAAAGGCCAAAAGGCATCACCACAAACTCTTCCAGACCGTACCTGATCTGAAATGCAGTTTTGTGTTGATCCTCGGGCCGGATTGCAATCTGATGGTACCCGGACTTTAGATCTATCTTACTGAAGTACCGACACCCTTGCACTCTATCTAGCAAGTCGTCGATGCGCGGTAGGGGCTCTCTGTTCTTGACAGTGATGGCATTGAGGCCCTTATAGTCAATGCACATCCTAAGTGTTCCTTCCTTTTCTTGGGTACAAATAGGACTGGAGACCCATAAGGAGAAACACTCGGCCGGATCCAACCCTTTTCTACGAGTTCCTTGAGTTGTCGGCGAAGCTCATCAAGCTCGCCTGGAGACATCCGGTAGATCCTACCCTTTGGGATGCTAGACCATGGGATAATCTCTATCGCGTGGACGACCTCCCTCTCAACAACCCCTGTCGGCTCTTCAAATAGATCAGGGTATTTAGCAACTACTCCCTCTATCTCCGGCGGCGTTTTCACCGGCTCGCTTGCAGTAGAGACATAAACTAGATACATACCCTCCTCCCGATTTTGCTTGTAGTAATTGAAGAACGCGGCCGCACACATGCACCGGAAGGACTCAATCAGACTACTAGCCTTAAACTTACATAATCTGGCGGTCCCTCCACCTGGCAAAGTGTGTTTGACCACTTTTCGGTCCCAGTCAAATCGGGGTTGTGCCACAGAGAGGTAGTACATACCTAACAACATATCCATGGGGAGTTCATCGCTCACTAGGAACGAGACGCGATGTCTCAGTTCCCCTCCCGTGTACAGGAAACAACACTCCACATTTTGGAGGTAGTCCTTAACTACCATGCGCTGTTTGTTGGCACAGGTCAACTCCACAGGTCGACTCAAGCGTTGCACTCGCCCCTGTAAACGCAACCTCTCAACGCACGTGCGACTAATGAAGTTTCGTGTCAAGCAAGTGTCATAATAGGCCCTGGCCTTGCGGCCGCCAATGACCAACATACCACATGATACGGCGTTTGTTCTGTGCGTGTCGGAACCACTCATTCAATCCTCTTATAATAGCATTAATCCTAAAGTTAGTTTCACTTTGAGGAAAGTGCATATATCGAAAACATGGTTGTGGCTTATTCCCTTTGAGGAAACATTGGGTGCTCACCCTTACTTTGGCCAATGTCGTCCAAGAAGCTAACGGGTCTGATCTAGACCACTCCTCCTCCAGCTCCTCTAAGGACTCAAACACATTCATCAAACAGAGGCTCGATGGGTCTGAACATGTTTGCGGGACGACGATGGAGTCAGTAGCTTGGGCCATCTCTCGAGATGGTGAGGGTGTGTCCACCACCTCGACCCTAGCAGGAACAGCTACTATTCCTACTGGCCCGACGTGTTTCCCGGAGCAGTGCCAGAAGTGCTAGCCACATTGCTACCAACGGGAGTGGAGGATCCTAACGCCTGGCCCATCGTAGGCGGGATCTTCTCGGTCACCTTCTTGTTTCGGCATTTGAATTGGTTATGGCCATATTGGCTACAACGAATACAAGACTGCCGTGTGTACCGATCTCTCCACACGTCCTCAGTGAGACCCGCTTTCTCCCATGGGGGAGCATTGGAGTCAACTTGACTCCTTGACCGGGAACCTCCACGGCATCTACCGGTCGCCTTACCTTTTTGAGTTACGACAGCGACTACTCCACCCCCTGAAGCTTCTACGCTGCCAGCCTCTGAACCTATTCCCGCCTGGAACTCGTCGTCCAACTCGATGGTAGAACCATCGTTGTTGACGAACATAATGCGACCCTTCGCCTTCCAGTTGGGAGGCAATGTCTTCTTCCTACCATCCATATGTCCATGCCCTATCTTTGCTTCAAGGTCTAGGGCCTTCTTGCTAAACGAGGGGAAGTTGTGCATATTGATGTTGGCCTCACCTGCAAATTGATTCCTGAGAGGCATGGGGAAGCATCTCAGGTAGGAGGTGAGTAAAACCTGGGGGTCATAGCGCACCCCAGGGACACATATCAGATGCTCAACAGAGTCAGTGGCCTCCCTTACTGACTTAAACTGCCTCGTGTGCGGTGTCAGGATCGCGTCAGTGGCTTTTTGGGCCTCCTGAGGATCATGCCACCTGTCTTCCACCATCTTGAGAAAGTCGTCCAGTTTCTGGTGAGCTGCCCAAGTGCGGAAGTCATGACCGTACCCTTGTAACTACACTAAACCACTCAACCATCTTGTTGCACTACCCTCTAGGTAGGATGAAGCCATAAGCACTTACTTGTGTGGCAAGGTAAGTTTACACCTGACGTAGACCGGCACTGCCCTCAACCAAGTGTCGAGGTCTTCGCCCCTCTTATCCCCTGTAAAGGGTTTTGGAGCGGCGATGGCCGTCTTCGGTACCCACTTACTTTGTCCCGGTCCCTGCACCAATCCGGGCTGTGGACCCTGTGATGCTGGTGGCTGCACTAGCTGCTGGGGCTGTGAACCCTGCGGCTGTGCAGGCTGCGAGATTACAAGTTGCCCGCTTACAGCAACCTGCAACGGAGGTTGGGTAAACAATGTCTGTACAGGAACCTGTAAACTAGGACCTGCTGAGAACCCGCATGTCAAGGGTATACCCAGGGAAACAGGTTGAACCGATGTTGGAGCTATATATGGGGATACCCCAGTCACCGGTGGGACAAAAGGAGGAGGTTGTGCAACGGGCCAGGCACCCGGCCCGGACGGCGATGGCGCAGCCTACGCTCGTCCGACCAATACGGCCAGACTCTGCTGAATGTCCTGAAGGAGAGCCATCTGGTGGTCCTGCATTTCAACTACATCTAGCAGGATGGACCGTATGGTTCTCACATCATCAGTCATGTGCGTCAGGTCCATCTCCTCTAGCTTGCTAACGCCCGCTTGCCTCCGCTGCATCCTGGTTCTTCTTCTAATCATTTTCTCTTTCTCTGCCTTAATCTCTCCTAACGCCTGTTGTAGCTGTGCCTCGCGAATGGCTGCTCGCTGTATGGCGACCTCGTCGGGGGTCAACACTATTGACTGGCTTGCCATAACGCCAGTGGACTGACTCACGGTTTGTGCGACCGTTGACCCAACAGAACCTGAACTGCTGGCCTGAGAAGTTTGCTGCGCGGCAGTGGCCATGGCTGCTGAAGTAGCGGCCTCGCTTGCGAATGCCCTGTTTTCCTTTGCGGCCCTAGCTCTTCTCTGCTGCTGCTGCCTCTCTCTCTCCGCTGGCGGAACAATAATTTGTCGCCCTCTGGTCCTAATGCCAGATGGGCGATTGGGCGTCTGGCCGATCGCAAGATCCATTCGTCCTCTCTATTGTACTCCCTATCACTCATAGGCTACAACACTATACACAGCCCGCACTAGGACACTCAAGATGCCTACCGCAGCATAATGTACAGACCGATTTATAATAAAATAACTATAATAATCGGCGGCTATGTCAGAGACTATACATTCGGGTCCAACACATAAGTTCAGATTCCTACAAATGAAAACTATTTCACTTTGATTAGTCCGCAAACAGAAAGTACAAGGAATAAAAAACAGTTCTAACTAATGTTGTCTGTCAGATGTTAATGGCTGTACATTAACTAATCAAAAATAAAAATAGAATCGTTTGTTGGGTCTGTTCACATAATGGAATCTTGCCCAAACTTCTCACCTGGAATGTAGCGATACCAGGTTGTTTCCCGTACCTAGACCTAGGCCGGTATATCACTTCGGCCTAGGCCCAGGTCCCTAGTGAGTTGGTTCATTCATTCAGTTGTTCGTTCGTTCTTGGAGTCGAACTGGACCTTCACTCAGCTGCTGCTTCTGGTGTGTGTCCATCTCCTCTCTCTCTCTCTCTCTCACCACCTCCGCACGTGCCCTCCGCACGTGCGTCACATTGGTATCGGAGCGGGTTCTCGAACCTCTGCTCCTCCCTCCCTCCCCCTCTCGCTATCCCACCACAACTGATAGCCATCTCCAAGTTCGTTCTTGCAGCTGCACCTGGCCCGTCAACGCGCGCACGTGCACGCACCCTCTGATCCCGACTTCCCTTTCTCCCCCG